CAAAACAACAAGCACCACACACAGGATATACAGCAGTAAACAACAATATGCAAACACAACAACATTGATCTGAATCAGCTTTTTTGGCAAAGTATGTGTAGGCCTACACATGCAAGGACTTTAAGACTTTAAGTGGCTCTCAGTGTAGTACAGTGCCTACAGATCCAACAACAATTTACAGGAAGATAGAAACAGACACACAGCTGAAAACAAAGCTGGTAACAAAGCCAGATAACAATAACAATAGAAATATTATGAACAAACATGAAAAAATAGATGCATATACATACACACACACATATATATATATAAACAACAATGACGCACAATGTCTGTGAATTGCAAACAAACACAAATAGTGTAAAGGAACAAAAAGGAATGGGTAATGTTGTAGATTAGTGTGTACACATGAAGTTGGTGGCTGTTAAAGAGAAACAGACAAGGGTATTGCCTATATGTGAGAGTTACATTACTGGTTAAGATCAGTATATTTGTCATTTTGTGTGCATATATACATTTGTAAAGACAGTGTGTGCAGTGATGATGAAAAACAACAATAATGATGATAATTAAAAACTAAGAAAGAAATTAAGAACTCCTTATGTTGAAAAAAAGGTGGTTAACCTTTTTAAGTATAAAGCTGATAAAACAATGTTAGATGTATGTGTACTCTAGAGAGTCTTGGGATAGTTACTCTCTGTACAGTTTGTGTGTATTAGTTAGAAATAGTACTAGTTTGCTGCAACACAATCAAGCAATCAATGCAACCAGGTCTCTGGAACCAGCAAAACCAGTGAAGTTTAGTCATTTTTGCTCATAAAAGAATTTAAATTACGAATGAATAATCAAAGGTTTTGCTCATAAATTGGCTATTTCCATTGTTTCAGCTCTACAGTCATACAATCAGTCATGAACCGATCGTTAAAAAAGCCACAGTAGAAAGTGCTGATCGAGGGAAAAGTAATACATTATGATATAATACACAAGTCAGCAGTTTCGTTCTTACGGGCCAATTTCTTTTAAGCAGGAAGCCAAAACACTTCTATACTTGCAGTGCAAAACACAGACTCTAGTGTATTTTGTTTATGTGAATACTGTTTATTAAATTACATTAATAAGACTGTGAATGTGACTCCATTCGAAATGTACAAATGTACAAATGTACAAATATACACAGTCTTTATGCTGTCAAATAAAAGTCACTTGTGGCTTTTCAGTAAATTATTACATACTACATACACAAGTTTTCATTAGTTTCAGTTTCAGACCCGAATACTGAAGTTTCAGGTTGTCTTAGGGCTATTATAGTAAACTAAAACTAAACTTAAAACAAAAACATTTTAGTTAACTGATATAAAAATAAAAACTACACTAAATACACAGGAAATGTCTTTAGTCTTTAGTCTTTAGTCTTTAGGCAATGGTGCAAATGTTAATTGAGACTGGGATGAAAGTCTATGTGTTTGTACTGTAATACATATTCAGCCCCCATATTATTATTTTAAACACTAAAATTAATAAAAACTAAACTCAAATGAGCAAAAACACTCTCTGGAAACTAACTAAAACTAAACTAAAAATCGGCTCCAGGGCTGAAATACACCTGTACTTAAAGCTCTGACAGGTATGATGCACCTCTGGGCGCTTCCAAGGACATCTGTTTCCCTACAGAGTCCAAAGGGCCCTCAGGCTTTTTAACCCCGAAGACCCTTTGGACTGTGGCTCTGCCTGTCTATCATCATTCATACTGATTACATGTTTTGACTTCTGAAGCCTCGTTCGAGGAGGAACTGATACCAAAAACACGAGCGACAGAGAAAGACATGTTTCCTGATGTGATAAAAAGAAATCAAATTCAGTGTTATATAACTGAGACTGAACAAGAACCTGAACACACTTACAGGTCCAGTGTGTAACATTTAGGAGGATTTATTGGCTGAAAGGTATGTTGTCATTAGTGCATAATCACCTGAAAATAAGAATCTTTGTGTTTTTGTTACTTTAGAGACATTTTTATCTACAGAGGGAGCAGGTCCTCTTCTGCAGAGGCTGCCATGTTTATACAGTATAACCCAGAACAGACAAACCAAACACTGGCTTTAGATTGGGCCTTTTATGCTTCTCCTACACAACTCCAACTGGAGGGTGAAGCGAGGGAGTTGTAATCTAGCAACTACACTGCTAGAAGCCACTAAATCCTACACACTGGTCCTTTAAGGGAGCAGATTTAAAAAAAAACAAAAAAACATCCAAAATAATCATTTAGAGTTACAGATATTGTGTGATGTCAAGACAATTTTAAGAGTGCAGCTCCAAACATACAGCGATGTAAATGCTCGCTATCATTCTTCTCGCTCCGGAGAATGTGTTGTTGTTCTTCTATCCTGTCTGTCGTAACTTGCACAAACACAAAGCCATAAAATATAATAAGAAAGTGATGCCTGCAGTAAATCTCTTGTCAAGAACACCTCAGGTAGGACAAATCATTGTTGTAAGGATCTAACCTGCGTCTGGTCACATTGATGAACTGTCACGATAACAAAAATTTAAATTGATTTTTTATTATTAAAAATGTTTTATTAACTTTTTCCATTTCATTTTTGTGTTTTGTGTGATTTTATTTGCCTCATGTTCTCCTGAAATGTTTCATTCCTGGTTCAACCATGTGAAGCTCTTAGTTTTGTGTAAGTTTATGATTATGACGATGATTATTATTATAAAAACTACTAAAAGTGCATCAAAATATATAAACTATACTTCTTTTAAAGGAAAGTGTCTTACTATGACTGACGTGGTTCAACATGAAAATTTCTGTTTATTTCACATTTTACTATTCGTGTTTCTGCCCTTTTCTCCTCTTACTGGTTTGGACTGTTTGGTTTTGAATGTTAAACCCTCTATAAATAATAACTAAAGATGTTTTTAAAGCTGGTGGCATCACACCTACAACACAAGATACACAAGAACAGTTGGTTACAGAGCAGGACACTCAGGGTGAGTGTCCTGCTCTGACACAGTCACTGGTGTGTTATTCACTACAAGTAAACCTCCTCATACGTGGTTGATTACAAAGTGATGAAGATTATTCTACTAAATGTCCTCAAACCCTCTTTTTTTTTTAAAACCCTCTCTCTTACCTGCTTTACATTTAAACACCACTCACAGATGCTAATTTTAAACCACTTTATAATTAGAGCCACCTAATCATGCAACCTGACCTGTCCCAGGCTGTCTGCTCCTCCTCCTTCATTTTCTTGAAGTTTTCAGGGGCTTTTTCTCAGTAGGAACTAAAAGTGAAAGGTAGGCAAGTGTTTTTTTTAAATGGCATTTATTGACAGAAAAATATAAAATAACATGTCTTAGGCTCCAGTTGAAGGCAGCTCCCTCCACTGACAACAACAACCACACACCTTGTACATTTGTCTTTTGATTTGTTCTTTTTTCCCCAATCACAAATAGATCTAAATCAAAACTGCACTAGCTGCTTCAGTTCTATTGAAGTAAAGAGGAACTTCTCTTTTCTTTGTAGCATTGTTCTGCAGAGGACTGTTCCTCTGTTGACTACAGTTACTGTTTCAACAAGTTTTTCAAGTCAGGTTTTAAGTTGCAGCGCAAACAGCAATCGTGTTTGTTTTGGGTTTTTTTTCTCCGACCCTTTTAAAATCGAGCTCTTGCTTCCTGTAAGTAAAAGTTTATGGATTAAAGGAAACTGATTAAGAGCTGCAGGAGATGCAGAAAGCAACTTATCTTCCACTGCAGCTGAGGCAGTGGAGCTGCACGGTGAGAGATAAACAGCTTCTTACGTCTTTTTGTAAAACAATGTCCAGCACACAAACACTCGCACAAAGATACAGCAGAACTGCACATCCACACACAAATTTAAAGCAGTGACCCCCTTCTTAGGCGACATATTTTATGGATTATATATATTATATTCAAAACAATAAACCTAAGTAGTGAATTGTATGTTTGTGTAAAATGAGATGAAATAAGATTTGGATGAATTTTAAGCAGATTATTTCCTGTTTAGAGAACTTTTAATACAATTTTGTCTGTATTACAGTTCTTTTTTTTTTTTTTAAACAATCATACAGACTCAATAGGCTTATTTTTGACAAAGTCAGTGTTTTCTTGTCCCTGATGCTTGGTCTTTGTCCTATTAGACAATTTACTGAAATACAGGCCTACTGTGTACAGTTTTTAAGCTTTCCAGCACGCTTTAAAATCAAGAAGGCCTCGTGACCCCATATGAAGCTTTGGTGACTCCTACTAGGGGTCCCGACCCTCAGTTTTAGAACCACTGATTTAAAGGACTGGAAGGGAGTTTCAGTGGAGATTTGATGTAAAAACACCTTGACCGGCTCCACTGAGAGGTCAGAGGTCATTCACAGAGCAGCAAACCTGCACACACCGGTATATTTTATATCTTCTGAGATATGAGGATTTGCTGCATTTCTTCTTTTTTTCTATGTCATATATGAATAATGGTGGTTGTGGACACTGACAATTAAAGTCATGAAAATGATAATGGCCATTTTTCCACTGTTTTCTAACATTTCATCGATTGAACCAGAGAAAATAATTGGTGGGATAACTGATAAAGAAAATAGCCCTGTTATGTTAATATTGTGAGTTCTGTGCTGTGAACTTGGTCCCACTTTAACGTCTCTTGGTATCAAACAGCACCCTCTACTGGTGAACTCTAGGAATTGCAGACAAATGGGGATGGAAACAGTAATACATACATTAAACTTTGAAATTATGACTTATGACCATTTGAACTATAGCAACATCCACTCATTACCCATCACCCCTCTGTGACCTCCCTGTTGGGAACCATACAGAGTAACTTAAAACTTGTTCTGGTTACAAATAAAGACAAACTGAAGATTTCCTTTGAAAGGGTGTATTTGCTTTGTTCACTGCTGGTTAAATGTTAGAAAATCTTGATATTAAAAGGTTGGAGATATACACTTTCATATACATTTCAAGTTTTATAAAAGTGACAATATTCATAAAAAAAAACAAAATATGTCAGTGGTTGAGTTGTTTTTCACCATTTAGTTTACAAGAGGAATATATTTTATGCTCACTATTTATATACAGTGTACACAATAAAAGATAAATTGAACCTTTGAATGGTGATACGAACCAAAATTACACCACTTGTGATACTTTTTGTGAAACAATAGTGTCGACTTCTTAACTCTGATTGTTCAAGTGTCCCAGAAAGTTAACTTTTTGAAGAGAAAAACAGGCTGTAAAAGATAGAAAAAGGTGAAAATCCAAAAAAAAGTTCAGTTGTACTGTTCCACTTAATGAAAATAACACTTCTGTAATAAAAACTAGTCAGATACTCCTTAGAAAATACACAAAACACAAATGTCTACAGATTATAAATAGATTTCAACATATAGGAGGAAATTTCAGGTTTTTTTTATACTTAAAAGTATAAATAACTACATTTTTTAATATGCATAAAGCATTTTACAGCCAGGAATGTTGACTAAAGTGTCCACATCTTCTGTCGAAAACATTTTGCCTTTACTTGTTAACCCGGGAATACAGATAAAAACTTAAGGTATAGGGAAATAAATAGAGAAAAATGTAGAAACTTTGTCTAACAATGAGGTATTGAAGTATGAAGTATTTGATAAAGATATACAATAAGTGCGAAACACTGCAGGTCACTGTTAGTCCTTATTTCATGTGTCTTTTTAAATCTAATTCCACTCAGGACTAAAACGTGTTTCTCTTGAGATGCTTTGAAACACACATATCACTGTTTCACATGTAATGAGTCCAGCTCCTAATTTTGTATAATCTTTCATCACATTTCTCGTCACCTCCTCACTGGACATTGTCCGTTAAAGCATAACTTCCATCAAAATATTTTGCAGGGCTTTCCCTCCCCACTGTGATGGTGAAATCTCCAATCACAGGTTTTGTTTTCAGGGTAGTTTGACTCCTTTGAGCTGCAGAGACCCACCTCAAAAACACAGCTGGAGGAGAGGCTCAGTCACACAATGTTCCCACATAATACTAGTGTGATCGGACTCGCTACAAAACAAGGTAGAGCATTAAATAAGGAATGGTATGACAACACTAAAAATGTTTAAACCTTCAGAAAGTGAACTTTGGATAAAAAAAACAAAAAACATATCCAACAAGAACCTGTGTCCACTTCTCTTTTTTTTCAGTCTTCGTTTGTCCTTCATACTCCCGAAAAAAATAACGTGTTAGTACTGTTAGTATTTCTAATCACTACTTCATAGCAGGCGGCAGAAGCTGCTCAGTTGGTGTCACTTTACGTAAACTGGTTGCTTCACATGATTCCTTCAAAGCTCTGAGATGCAGCATGAAGTCGAGGTTTCCAAAAACACAGATCTTCACTCCTTTTCCCACAGATTCTCAACCTGGGGTCCTTTAGTTGGTTCACAGCACGGTGGTGTTAAGAACTCCAACTTTAAAATAGGTCCATTTCCAGGCAGCCGATGGCTCTACTCCACCTTCCAGATGGCAATCTTTCCGTCGTGTTTGGCAGCTCCACTGAGGACGTATCGATCCTCGGCGGAGCAGAGCGCCGTCACCTTGTCGTTGTGGCCGTGAAGCTCCTTTTGGACCTGGTGGCGCTCTGTGTCCAGGATGTAAATCTTCCCTTTGGTAGAACTGCGGCCAACACCGCCAACCCACACCTGGAGAGATGAGAGGCAGATAATGTGGTTTTATATCTTGTCACTACCACCATTATAATGCATTTAGGTGATTTCTGTGTGTTATGTGTGTGCATTAGTATATTAACCTGGTTTTTAACTTTGATCATGCAGTAACATCCGGTGCAGTCCTGTAGAGACACACGGTGGAATGGTTTGCTAGTGTCCCTAATGTTCCAAATACACACTTCTCCTGAGTCCACACAGACACTCCACAGCTCCTCCCTCTGACAGAAACACACACACAAAGAAAAAAGGGGGTCACACTCAGTTACAATGCACAACAAAACACAACAAGAGGTGTGTGTGTGTGTGT